TAAGAGGCACAACATTTATTTAATGTAAGAATAAGTTAGCGTAGTGAATGACACAACAAGTAAGAGAACATAGTTCATATTAAATAGTTTCAAAGCCGTACCTCCACAGTACGCTACATTTGTACCAAAAGCTGATCCACAGGTTTGTGGATAATGTCCGGCACACAGGTTACGACAGGTTGGCAAATAGCAATATCCTTGGATAGTTATTCGTCCATAAACTTGTGGTGAACAGTTCGTTCCGTAACAACATGAACAATAGCAGAAGGACGTGCGAGGTGTAGTTGAGCGTGGCGATGTACGCGGCGTGGAACGTGGCGATGTACGCGGCGAGGAACGTGGTGTACTAGGGGTTTGACAGTGAACGTTGCACACGAAAATCGATAGACAAAGTATTGTTAAGAAAAACGTAAAATTCATTTTGTATTTCTTCAATATGAAATATAGTGTGTGAGTGTTGTCAGTTTGTTTCAAGGTGAGCTGCATCATGTTTTATACTTATTGTTATCTCTCTATTTATTGAGTCATATCAACACTAGCACACTGCTTTGAAGGTAACTAAAACAAATACACAGAATTGCGTGAGAAACACGAAAGAATTGACATCGTTATCATTATAGGCACTTTATTAAAAACAGACGATGAGTAAAGTACACAAGTAAACAAACTATTCCGATTTTTTTGCGACATAAAAAAATGATAGATCTAATATTGTATATCATATTTAATATTACACTGACGGTTTGCAACATAAGCCGCATTGAAAAATGTCAATCGGTGTCAAATCCACTCACGCTTCTACATCTGCTAAAACTACTTGTCCGAAGATATCGTGAGAAAGAACGTTAAACTGCATGTTCTCCTACATGAAATTGATGTTTTGCTTAAATTAAGTCCCGCAATATACGGAGAGCTTATGTATGAGGAAGATTCGAAGAAAGCCGTCCCAAGCTGTCCAAACTTCCTTGTTGGAGTCGCGCCCGATTCGCGCTAAAAAGTCGCTACGTGATTCTGAATATAACCGGCATCACTCATGTCGTCGCGTTGCTACTCTTGCCTTCTGGCGACTATCGATTGTATGATTTTGTTGAAGCGCTGGCAAATTTCAAACAGCTGTTTGACGAGACAGTCAAATTATTGATGGATCGTCTGAACGTATTCGGTGCAGACGAGTTTAAATTAACAAATAGTCATGGGTATAATTATATTAGCGGAAGATTAATAATCGTTTGTAATAAATACGATCGAATTGTTTTCGAAAGAAAAGACTATATCACAATCCGAATGAAAATGAGACGAGACATTCAGCAAGTTTTAGAAACCAAAGAAATTTTGATCACCTTTACTTCAGCTGCTGCGGGTGAATGTGAAGGATGCCTGAATGAGACATTTGTGAAAAAGATAAAAGATCTTGAACTCTTGATTGACTCAGTTCAAGAGTTAAAATCGAAAATTCATAATAAAATAAGAAAAAATAAAAAAGATTTAATTCAAGACCTATCAATAAAAGCAGCAAGAGATGAGATTTTACAACAATCATATCAGTGGACCCGAAACCAGAGTACAAAACATAATGGTCTCAATGTAATTCGTCAATTAGCTACAGTCGTTCCGTATCCTTTTCTTGCTGCTGCTTCTCAACTTATAAACGAAAAACGTTTAGTCGGCATATCAAAACACTCAGCTTTTGCCTCATTTAATGCGCATCATTTATCAAATTTTTTGTAATATCCTGCACTTTAGTAAAAATAAAATCTTATCTTATCTTATCTATCAAAATTGTACATTGATTTACAACTCCCTTGTTCTTTCTAATTTAATTTATGTGTCTGTAATATAATCAAGAACAACTGAAAAACATTCTGCACAGTTGAGTACACTGCAATACCACGCTGGTCTTGCGATAACCGGAGCGATGAGAGGTACATCTAAAGATAAGGTTTTAGCAAATTTACAATTTTTTAAAGCTAAAATGTGGGTATTCTTGATCAGCTCGTCGAGCTCCATGGATTGATGTATAATTAGGCCAAAAATGGTGTGAAAACTTAGAATTAGCGGCACCTTATCTACTATGAAACCAGAAACAGTAGAATATAGTTTCTAACTTATATTGGGTAACGGAACGAGTAGTGTAACAAAGTAAACGTTGATTAATAGGAATTAACGCCATAAGCAAAGGATGGGGCAAGATTTCTCATAATTTTATGAAAAAATATAGTCTGTACTTGTCGAACAACATGTGTATCGGGAGCCGACCTAAGTCCGCCAAAACCTTACCTTTAGATGTACTTCTCATCGCTCCAGTTATCGCAAGACCAGCGTGGTATTGCAGTGTACTCAACCGTGCAGAATGTTTTTCAGTTGTTCTTGATTATATTACAGACACATAAATTAAAGTAGAAAGAACAAGGGAGTTGTAAATCAATGTACAATTTTGATAAATGATGCGTATTAAATGAGGCAGAAGTTAAGTGTTTTAAGGGTACCCCCCTCTTTGTTGACCCTCTTGGAAACAGAGCCCTGCAGGTTGATCCTAACCTAACCTATAGGTTAGGTTAGGATTAGGTTGCAAAAGTTATAGGTTAGGTTATAGGATGTTCTTTTTTTTT